GGCAAGCTGCAGAAGATTTAAAAAGCTAGATTTAAAGCGCTGTACTATAGGGGGAGTCTTACCTTTGTATAGTGTAGTGTCACTTGAGCTAGGAGCTAGCCACCCTATTTGCAATTAGGCAGACTGTGAGTGAACAGAGTTGGTAGACAAAAATAAACTTTGGTTACAAGTCTTTCCTCCTACTCTTAACATGCCATAGAGCTCAAGAGTCTTCTTACTCTAAGGCAGGGGTGTCAAACTCAATTTCATCGCAGGCCACATTCGCATAAAGGTTGCACTCAAAGGGCCGGTTGTAACTATATAAATATACATATATAAATATATAATATATATATAAAATAATGTATTATATTACAATATTGCCTCTGAATTGGATTATTATCGGATAGGATAATAACTTAGTAATTAACTACGTCTGAAAGCAGAAGTCCAGGGCAAATAATTGCAAGTCTCTTCAGTGCGCATGTCACAAAACGAGATGCATTGTGGGACATGTAGTTTATGGGCAACCTGCTTCTGTAAAGTGGCATGTAACCATATAATAAACGTATTATATTCTTTGCAAGCTCTTGCGGGGCCACAGAAAATGAAGTCGCGGGCCGGATTTGGCCCCCGGGCCTTGAGTTTGAGACCCCTGCTCTAAGGTCTACAAAACAAACAAGGCCTTGGGAAACACACTTCACTTTGTGCCATGCTCCATCCTGGTTCATTGGGGTCCAGGTGGGGACACTTCCTCCCTTCTCTGGCCATTCCACCAAGATCATAATTGTCTTTGACAAAACTCATTAGCAGAGACCTTGTAGCAACATCGGCAATCAGAAATTCCATGGAGGGAGACATGCACAGGAACAATGTCCCACACACATTTCATTGCGCCTTTTGACAAAATGTAATGAAGTGTGTATATTGTCCCCCTCATCTGAACTGTGAGCCACTGGTACAAAGACTTTGTTTTATGAGCCTTAGCGGCCCAGCGTGGGACACATCAAATGGCACCTCCATGCTGCCTCTTTTGTCAGACTAGAGGGCAAATTATTGTTTGAGATGTTGTTGTTGTTGTTGTTTTGGCTCCCCATCATACGTATTCGAGGCCATTGCTATCAGAATAATTCATATTCATTTACGTCGCAGGCACATGCTCATTAAGTGGGGTCCTGAATGTAAAGTGCATGTGATGGATGTTCCTGACAGTGCTTTGTCAGAAGTTAACCCCTCATTGACCTACAGTATTATATCGCACAGCATACCACAGTAGCAGTCATTGTTAGACTGGGCTCAGCCTCTTCAGAGCCTGATTAGGAGGCAATGCAAGATTAATAAATGCATAAAACAAAAACATATGATGCTTCTACATCCCTCCAATGAAACTTAAGATGTACAAGCTTATCTCTGACTCATAAGGATCTGATTTGTTTAGGCCTATATTTGACATGTTTTAGATCTTTGTACAGTATAAGGAGCAAGCTGACACCACCTTACAAGACGTGTAGTAGCAGAATAAATAGAAAACAATTTGTCAGTAGGTTTTTTAGTTGTTGTATATCAATTAAATTCAATATCAATCTCTTCACTCCAAAGAAATTGAGCTACAAAAATGTAATTATATAGTAAACAGTTGAATCTGATATTGTAAGGAAGCATGGATCATATGTTTAATTTCTTAAATACAACTTTTACTTTCTTTCAATGCCATAATTCAGATTTTAGAATTGATTTTCTGTTTTGTGTGAGGGATTGAAACAACATTTGTGCATAGCGACAATATAACATTTTAAGGATGACCAACATAATAAAAATATAAATATATATAAAGTTTCTGAAGTTATTGAATTATGTGAGTTTTATCTTTGTTTGAAAAGTAAGGGTGAAGAGTCTAATTAGTTTAGAATTATATTGATATGTTATTTTATTGAGTGTTATGTGTCCCAAACATTGACTTTAAATGAACACCTGTCACTTCTCAGTCAGTTGGCCGTTGACTTGAAAAGAGCACAGCAAACAGCACGTTGTTCCCAAAAAAAGATCAGTGCCCCGGGACAGTAGTGGGGGGGGGGGGCCTGTGTCTTTCTGCATTAAGACACATAAAGAATGGTTACAGATTAATAATGTCAAACCCATTCCAGTCTTCATGTTTACCATGGCTTGTTTTTCTTTTTTTGTGTTGCATATTTGTGCCTCATTCACAGATTATCTAAAATCTGTTTTGGATTATGTGAACATGCTCTCATCGGCACCCGGCATCTCCCCCCTCCCTGGTGAAAAATGTAATTTACCAGGAGGAGAGCGTGTATTAGGGCAACTCAGTTGTGCATATATAGGCTACCTAAGGAAATGATTATCCTTTATCATTGTAGTTTGCCACAGATTTCAAGTCTCGCCTCAGATTAAAGATGTCAGATTAAGGATGTCTTGTGTTTTTCCTCTCCCCCTTTTCTTATTTCCACCTAAAACCCCACCACAATTCACCTTTCCTCACTTTCACTTTAGGTTATTTTATTTAACTTTAGGTCACTTTAGGTTAGTTTATGTAATGTTGTTTTTCTCACAATATGATAGACGTGCTTTCTGACCCATTGCATCCAGGCAGCCTCCACTCACAGCTTCCTGTCTCTTGACTGTTTTCTGCGCAGCTCCTTCAGCCATATGTAAAACACTGTATAGGACCGACTAATTGACCTGTTAGCTCAGGCATACGCTGCTATATGAGCCCATCATGGCCATTATCTATGCTTTCCCCCAGGTACTTTGCCATGGTGGTAATCCCATTGCGCATGCATCATTACCTCCAATAGCAAAAGGCAGCTTTTCTTTACAGCCCACGATTTAATTAAATTTGGTTGTAAATATTTGATACACACCTAACCTACATTTTAACGTAAAGAGCATCGCATCAGGCGTCATGACTGATTAGTGTTGATGAGGAGGGGGAGGGGGAGGAGGAGAGAGGCCCCCTGTTAGCAGCTTGTCATTAACAGATGGACTGTTACAGAACTGCCTGACTCACCAAGAGCTGTCATTCTGCCTCACATCAGGTGGACTGGACCGGTTTTCTTTAAACATATTTTGCTCAAAATTCTGTTCTTATCTTTATGTTTCAGTCATTTAGTAAAACATTTAATTAACTGTAAAGGATGCCAATTGTTTTAATGTGTCCTCTTTATTGCTCATGACAGGATATAATGAATCAGTGAGATCCAGACCTTAGAAAGTAGGCCTAGGCGATATTAATAATATATATATTTGTTTAGCCCTCATATTTATTAGGTTTCAGATTAGCACAGATAGACAAAATTGAACTGGAAAAAAATCTAAGTAAACCTAAATTATTATTCCTGACCCTCCTCATCCTCACCATAGATTCTGCAGGATTTACCAAGCTCCCTGCATTACTGACAGCCAACCCAAGGACACACAGGCTGACCACAGCGCCTCTGAATACAGCCTGAATTGCCCTAATACCGAAAATACTTTTATTACAAGCATAATCCCAGAAGTTAAGTATGGCCCCAAATGACGTTTTTCTTCTATGACAGGCTTTGGACTATTTACAGGTATTGTTTCTGTGGAGGTCTGAAATCAAATGTGGTCATAAAATATAAATCTTTGCCAGCTGATGTCATAATGACGCTCTAGTTTGAGGAATAAAAACGGGAGATCAAGTCAGAAAGGGAACAGAAAGGTCAGGGGAATTATGATTCAAAAATATGATTTAAAAAGATTGAAATGAGACGAACACCTTGCTCCTTTGCTCAGAAGTTGTTCACAACTCCTCGGTATCTTACATCATTTGCTTTTTAAAGTACAATACATTTCAAGGCTTGTCCAACTTGATTTTTGCTGTAGTTTTTGCGCAATATTGTGCGTCAAAATCAATATCCTTACCGCAATTAGTGTACACAGCACTCTTCTGTCTTATGCTACGAAACTGATTGATTTTTAAAGTTTGAAATATGAGGATAAAAGTTTTTCTGAGCGTCTTCTCCTATCATAGATGACAGTGATCATCTTATTACAGCTGTCTGGAGATTAACACAAAGTTATACACCATAACGAGATGGACTATACGCAAAACAGTCAAATCAAAGGGACTTTGATGGACCATGTGAATTTCTGTGCCGGGTTTGATCCTACAAATGACCTTTTAATTAACACAATGTTAAGTTAGTGCAGCGGCTCGCTACACAGGGGACAAAGCAGCATTCATCCTATGTTCCTGCCTCGGTGCCCGGCCTGAACAGTAACAAAGTGTTCGATGCCACTACTGATTAGATGCTGACAATGGAGGGATGATGTCCCCCTTTCTTCCGCAACTTGTGGATTTCACTCACGTCCTCCTCTGAATTATGACCTTCCCTCGACGCTGCGGCTCTGCGCGCGAGTCAAGATGCTAAACTTTGATCAAATGCACTTCCGCAACTCCTTTAATTGGCTCTCTAAATAACCATGACACAGACAAGGAAAGCTCTTGGAAAAAAAATGTATTCTTAGAAAAGAAATGCCATGATAGGCAAACACAGAAGAAGCTCACATTTTGTTAACACAATGACAAAACCCTCCAGGTCCACGCGCAACACAGGGGATCCGGTCCTTATATGGTCATCTCTAAAATCCATCTCTTTTACAACAGGCAAAATGACACGAAGCCACATTAAAACGCAACATGTAACGAATACTCAAAGAAGGGACAAATTCAACCGATAAACACGCCATATAATAAACAGTCAACATTACAAAATAATAAATACACAGATAAATAAATAGGTTTGCTACACTACACGATTGCCATACACAAATTCGGCCGTTTTTTTTTATTCGGCCATTCCCATACCTTTGCATCTAGAATTTTTTTGCATAAAGTCTTTTACACGATAAAAACAAAGTTGTGCAAAATGATAGCCACGTCCACAGTTTGACTGCAGCAGCAGCAGGTAGCTCCCATGTGTCTTATTGAGGCCGCCACTCGGCCAGTGTGTCCTTTAGTGCATATTCATTCATGTCCAATTATTTATTGTGGTACAGTATCCAGGAATCTAGGTGAAAAGAATACAGCAGAAATTAGAAAAATAAGCTCCAAAAATGAATATATAGGCTTAATCATAAGGTATTTAATTTCAAGTTGATTGCAGAAGAAATTCTTATATTTTTCCTTTTTAACTTTTGACATCAGGTATATTAGGAAAACTCACTTTAACCTTGCAGTCATTATATTTTTGATAGAATTCAATTACATTTTAGCAAGAAAAGTGAGTATCTATGTGTCCTTGTTTACATGTGAGTGTTTAATGCAGTTGTTTTGTGCCCCATGTTCGCGTGAGTGTGAGTGTTTGTGTGTGTGCTCTCTGGTTTCTTCCAGTTCAGTGCAGACTCTCACCTGCTTCACCTCTTCATCACTGGTCTGAACGCAGTGACCTTGTCATCCTGCACGGTCCCGCAGGCTTCACTAAGGTCAGACGACTGTGTCTCTGCTTTGCCACCAGAGAACCCTACACACCCAAATAAAAGCATATCCACATGTAAGAAACTCGCCTTAGGTGCAAGTTGACAGAATATATCCCCTCACTTCCTAACCTTAAATGTGCTTTCATCCAGCAACACACATTTGGTGATATGCTCTTGAATTGCTGCATACTTCACAGAAAACATCCAAATATGAAAGAATTTGCTCCCTTTTAATGTGGTATTGTAGATTTGAGATGACATACCTTCAATAGTGGAGTACTGACATGTGTCTGGGAGTGCAGAATAGGAGGAACAGTGCAGTTGGAGGTCCTTGTGACTGTAGCTGCCAGTGCCATAGACTTTAGAGTGCAAGGATAAGCCCTCAGCGAAGGGGCTCTCAGTATTGGTGACACCGCCAGATTCATGGAGGCCTCTCATACCCCCACACTGTCCAGTTAGAGTGCCGGTAAGCCTGGGGCTCTGGAGCTGGCAGTCCCCGGTTGTGTTGCCTGTCCTCAGCTCCGAGCCGTGCTGCTGGGGGCTCAGAATGACCCCCGAAGCCGCCGTACGAGCCAGAGACCAAATCCGAGGCTTATCTGATGCTTCAAAGTGAGACAGGGACAACGTTCCCCCCGTTGAGGAAGGTGCCTTGGACCCGACAGGATCCAGGAAGTCAGACGGAAGAGGGGGGAGGCTGGTAACACCTTTGATGGCGCAGGGGAACGCGTGGAAGCTGTTAGTTAAACTCAGGTGGAGCTCGGAGCTGCAGTCTCTCTTTTGAGGGGGTCCGGATAGCGCCATGACCCTCTGGAGGTCCTGCTCGTCTGCAGCCCCCTTTTCACAGTCGCTGTCCAGCTTTTCACAGTCATCGTCGTCCATGTCCTCCAGGTCACTCAGACGCAGATCCTTCTCCTCCTTGCAATCACTGGAGTCTGCATGGAAGAAAAGAGATGTTAAGGAACATTATTTGAAAAGTTTGGGTAAACTCTTAAAGACATAGTTTGTTCATAAAACGTTTAAATAAACTTTTTTCTTTCTGGAACCTTCTTTTGTTACTGTTTCTGTCCACATTTGGCAGCTGTATTTCAATTTGTAGTGCAAGTGCTTTAGTTTACCAATAATTAAATCAAAACTTAATCCCAAATGACCTTTGGTGAGACAGTCTTCGCTCTTGTTAAAGTCATCCTTCCTGTCATCGTTGGCCTTATTCTTTGGTGACCAGGTCATCTTGTTCTCCTTCTTTAGCCTCCTCCTGGCGTTGGCGAACCAGGTGGACACTTGTGTGAGGGTCATTTTGGTGATGATGGCCAGCATGATCTTCTCTCCTTTAGTGGGGTAGGGGTTCTTCCGGTGCTCGTACAACCATGTTTTTAGGGTGCTGGTAGTTTCACGAGTTGCGTTCTTTCTCCTGGCTGAGCCATTAAAGTCTACTGTCCCGTATCTGGAAAAAAGGACACAGAAAAACACACAGAAAGTGGCCATTAGTGGAGGAAGTGAAGCCTATTCACTCAGGCATCCTATATCCGACTCCCTGCTGTTTGAAATATATACTGCTTCGCTGCATGCAGGTAACTGTGTGGAGTTACACTCTGACCTTTGATCTGAATGCAGCATATATCCCCTGTGAAAGGCTGATTGTAATAATCAGAGCTAGAATACTTTTTGGCTGGTCAGCTACACTTATATTTCATAAAGTGGACACACATGAACATAGAATGTACCTGTCGTATTGATACTGTCCCAGTGAGTGGTCGTAAGGATAGTAAGCAGCCGTTTGAGAGATGCCAGAGTGTAAAGTGCCTGTGCTGTCCTTAATGTCATACTGTGGATTCTGTAAAAGACAAAAAGGTTGTTATAGAAATGGAACATTCGTTATTTCTCAGCATTAAATTATAAAGACATTTGTTATTTGTAAGCTCTTAAATCAAATATTAGGCTATCCAAGAGTGAAACGAATTGCTTTACATGACGTAAATGTGTTTGTTTTTTAAGTAAATTTGAAGCAAAATATGCAATAATGATCTTAGAATGTATATTTATATAACATTTTTAATTATATGTTTTTTTTCACTTCTTTCAGGTACAATTTGCAACATTTGAATGGCCAGCACATTTCTCGCTAACTCCAGGTGTTAGAATAAGAGAGAATAAAAGTAAAGTTACAGCTACACTGCACAATATCAATGAACAAGTCACAAGTCCTTTATCCACTCTAAAATCTCACTTAATCAAATTAAACAATTGTTAACTAGGGGTTATGTATTTTATTATTTTTAAATGCTGATTTACCAAAACCACCTCAGCCAATATTTTCAAACCATGAAACAATAGTAGATTTATATTTATCATAACAAAATGACATTTGATTGCAGTAATACAACTTTACTCTCCATTGCTTCTACACTTCCTCCCCTCACCTGAGTGACAGGATTTTAGACTCGCTTTTAAGGGGAAGAAGATAAGACCACCGGATTAAACGGCATGTCAAGACGGATACGTTTGTGGAAGAACATTGATGAACAAAACCCGGTTGATCGATCAGCCTGAGCCACCCTCCCCCCTTTACGCATCAGAAGTGAGCCCACCAGAGTGGAGTAGATAGCGGATGGGTCGGTGCTGTAGGGGAAGTAGTTGGCGTAGTTCTGGGTGGCGGCAGCCGCTGCGGCGTATGGAGAGCTGTACATCCCCAGCGCCGCGTTCAGCTCCGTCCGGCTGCTCGCCAGGATCCGGTTCTCGTAGGACGGGCAGCAGAAGGAGGCGGCGGCGGCAGTCTGGGAGCCGGCTGTCCCGTCAGAGACCGACCTGGAAATCGAATCGCAGCAAGTCGTACTGGGGTTTGCCGACACGAAAAACTGCATGAAGAGAATCGTGGATAGACATGGTCATTGGCTGTTTCTGCTGTTATCTGGATGCCTGTGACAACTCTGAAGTGACTGTGGGTGATGCATAACGATATCTGTTTATCTATATTCAAGTTGCTCGGTTAGTTTAGAATTGAGCATTTGAATTAAAACAAATAGTTAAATTGTGCTTTAAGTTCAATTATCCTGATCAGGTGTCCTTATCTTAACTTTTAACCTGCCTTAATTCAAGGTAAGTCACTTTTTAGAGAATGATGTGATGAGAGAAAGTAGTTTACATTGTGAGCACGTGCAATAAGGGATACCATGTAATTGTTATGTTTCATGTACACGTACAAATAAGTGGATATTAAGATGTTAAAAGCTGTGCGCAATCCGTGCGTAAAAGTGAAAGTGCTGTGGTTTATCATTGGATCAAAATAAGATAACAATCTGAGCTGATAGCCCTTTACAAGTAAACTAAGTACATTCATTTTTTTTACATTTTTGAATATATATATATATATATACATTGTACTGGAAATAACAAATATTATCTAGATAAAAGTTTGGTGACAACTTTTCTGCTGAGAGTAACTTGTGTCCCCTGATCGTGTTGAACTTATTCCAACTTGTCATTTGGCGCACTCATAGTGTCTTAAAATCTAAATGAATCACTCTAATTGAGTTTTAAAAGCTCTCCAGATAATGCACGGTGTTTAACATCCCACGCTTCCCATATAAATAGAAAGTTTACGAATGTGTGCAGCCCAATCACTCCTCGTAGTGAGCAATAGGTGACATTCATCTCTATTGTCATCAGAAAAACACGTGAGTTCATTCATAATTCAGTGTAATTGGACACGGGTGCGTGTCTATCGATATTTGGTTCCACAACAAAAGCACCACACGAAAAATATCTGTCAAAGCAGTCACTCAGTCATTATTATTTCCTATAGAGAAAAAGGTGCTCTGACTATAGTAAAATACAAGAAAATACGCACAGAAAAAAAGCCAATAGTGTGTGTGTACATACACAACACTTAGGAGAAATAAAAAGCAAAGTCTTACCTGTGAAGTTGCATTGTAAGGATATCCAAATTGCGAGAAAGACATAGCTGCTTCTTTTGTTACCATCAGCAATAATCTTCACCCTTGATCGATTGCAACCAATTCCTACTTCAAATCCACCGTCTTACACACATTTCCACGCACGGCCTTTCGCTCAATAATAGATGACTTCACTCATAGGAGGGAGACTTTAGGATGGCACCAGCTGCAGATTGTTTTATATGAATGAATAATCCCCCCAAAGGACCCGATAAGAAATGAAATTAAGCGTCATTAAGTGCAACAAAAAAATTGTTGTTGTGTTAGCTGAAGGAGGCTTAAAGGATAACGTAAGACTTGCAAGATATGGACTCTGCTTGTGCTATTATTTGTGGCTCTATAGTTCTTTAGCATTCATCCATGCAAGGGTATCAGCGTGACGTCACTGTAATCCCGGAACGGCAGGGTACCAAGGATAGAATAATGTCTTTGCCAATCACATCCAACGCAGGGTTTTCTTAAGGTGCACTGTACACAGCCTGTTCCCCTTTTGTAATGGAATTGTTCACCGATTTGCTGAGATAACGTCCCGGAAAGTTGCATTATGTTCAACGTTATTGAATGTTAGCAGGGTTACATGAGGAAACCCCTTGTAAAGATAAATGAATTAGAAAAAGAGACTTTGACATTTTTCTTTTTTGGTATTCTTGTGAGATATTACGATTTTATTCAGCACAATAAATGTTTTACCCATGCAAACAGGAATCAATTTAGCATTTCAACTAAAAAATATTGTGATTTCAAACATTTTCTATTATATTTATTTTCAATCTACCCAACTACCCAATACAACTGGTTGAAGAAGCACATTTAAGACTTTTTACTTTCTTTCTTCTTTTTTCTTTTTCTCGACCTATGTTCGCCTCTCGCTCTCTGGCCAGAGGTCCATCCCGGAGTTAATGACGATTATGTTTCTATCTTTCTCTATTAGAGAGGGGCAGTCCCAGCAGGAACGGTTAGAGGGGTTTTTGGCAGGTCAATAGACCAGTGATTGATGCGCGCCTGGAGACCTACGTGACCATTACGCGTAATGCGTAATTGTATCAATTAACAAATGGATACATGCCCTTGTTTAACCAACGAGTAACAAAGTGAAAATATGCCTTAGAGGTGAAATCCGAAGAGCTATGCTGGGGAAAAAAAGACAGTGGAAGCCCTGCTCTCCAGTCTAATTAAATATCCGTGGAAGGGGGCGACGAGAATTGCATTTTAATTGAATGATGCTCACTTGAAAGATGGGTAAGGAATGATGCTGCCTCACAGTGAATGAAACGAGAAATCATTTTAAGCCTTATTAGATCAGCAGCTCAACCATCACCAGTTTTCTCCCTCTCTTCCATAAACATAAACAAGCTGTGCCCCCTCCCCGTGTGTTGTTGAGCTGGAACAGGGAAGGGGGGGGGGGGTCGTATTTCCCATACACACTATATGTGTATTGACAATGACAGTCATGATCAGTCCTCCTCAGTCATACGATCTGCCTGTTTCTGATTATCTAAGGCTGTGTAAGGTTCCTGTTGTCACGACTGATACCTTGTGCCACATTTCCCGGTGCCCTGCCGACCTGATGTATGGCGTTTCATCCCTTGGAGACGCTTCTGCTATTATGGGCTTCCTCTCAGAGGGGCGCTAAAGAGCCGCGTGAAGGAGTTGGAGATCTCCCGTGAAGAGATTTTCCTCATAGATAAAGTGGACACAGTGGTCAGAGTCCAGGTTTTGGAAAGTGCCCGGGCAATACGCACTTGTTCAACAGCTCACACACACCACAGCTCTGTTTATGATAAGTGCTTATTCTGACAGGCAACTAAGTTACAGCAGGGAACTTGTTGCTTGGTCCCCAAAACATACAAGTATTCCCCATGTTACCCAACTGTATAAAACCTACTGTATGTGTAAGAATTATCTTTGAAAACGATTTTTCTGAAATGTATTTTTATTTTTAAATGTCATCAACTTGTTGATTCTTTCAACGTTCAATTCCAGTATTCTCACTTGCCAATATTCTAATAAAGAACCAGGCTTATGCTGCAATAACATATTTTAAGTTCCCAAAACTCACTCAAAACAGGAGACAGTGCAAATGGCTAATAATCAAATAAATCTAAAACTAAAAGAGGCGAGCCAAGGTGATTATTATATAACTATTTTCATTTTTATTCTTTTGGCATACATTTAAATATTCTGAGGACAAAGCGCAAAAAGGCACTTTAATGTGTTTGGCTTTACAGTGTTGGACCTAATATCTAAACTGGCAAAACAATCTATTTTTCATAAAATCAGAAAAACAGCGCTGTTTTGTCTTTGTGACAATGCCATTTTTAGATAATCCAGTGTGGTTTTATTTTTTTTATTGAGTTTAAAGTAGGATCTTTTTTTCAGCCCCTGCTCTTAATCCTTCAGTTTATCTGAAAAATCTGAATCACACAATTATGGAGACATGGTTTTACATGTACAGTGGCAAGAGTTCAAATCAGAATAACACATTTGCAACAATAAGTGGTCTTAACTTTCCATTTAACGCTACTGATGGATATCAGGACTTATTATCTAAGGGGAATGCACACTTTCATGCCTGAAGTGTTATTCTATAGGATAATGTGCACACAGAGAAGGTTGAAACAAGCTAAATGTAATTGCATGCCGGTGGTCGATGCTTTTCTACAAGGGCATGCATGATGGCCCAAGTGCATACGGACAGACTCATGCATAATGCATGCCCAGCAGTCAGCGTAGATCTCACTGAATCAGGCCAAAATGAACACTAATTGTAATGGCAGACTGACCACAGTGCCCTTCCTTTTAAAATATGTGACAACCCCACGATGAGACATTTCATTTACAGTGTTTTGTCCAGATTACTTAGTACTCACATTGTTACAAGGTTTTTGTTTTTTAGCAACAAACTTGCTGACAAAGCCAATTAGTGATTCCTCTTTCTGTTTTTCATTATAGTTTTTTTGGCAAAGTCCTGTACTATACTGTAAAGCGCTACTCTCCCAACAGGAGCAAGGTCCTTTAAAAGATAGCAGCTTCTTTAAGGTGTACAGTAGCAGCCACCCTCCAGTTATCAACAGAGGTAATGTACTTAAGTACACTTTTGAGGTACTTGTACTTTACTTTAGTATTTTTATTTAATGCTAATTTATACTTCTACTCCACTACATTTAAAAGGGAGATAATATAATTTTAATCCACTTCATTTATTGAACAGCTTTACTTTTAACAGTCACAAAATAATCCATTTATTTAAATATTTCACAAAAGGCAATCTGAACTTTGTTTGTTTTTAAAACAGTAAAATGCTACTTGATGCAACAATATTATCTAGAATTGTCACATATATAAATATAATTATATACACTTTTTATATTATATGTAGATTTTGCTAATAATACTTTTGCACTTTCACTAAAGTATGATTTTGAATGCAGGACTTTTACTACTATCTGAATACTTTTTCTATCACTGGTTTTCAGGCCCTATCATAGTTCAAGCTCCTATCCCAGACCACCCTGGGTTTAAATCCTGTATCATTTATATAAACATTTTTCCTGTAGTAATATAATATATAATCTTCTTTGGAGAACTAAAGTCACGCAAAGAGTTCCAAAAAGTTCAACAAATCCAAAAAGTATTAGAATTGTTGTACAAGAAGTGAATTCACATTTATTTTTGAATGTTTAGCGTCCTGCATTCTTTTGGTATACAAAAGTGGCCGTACCTCTACTTGAAAGAAGCTGCAACAAAGTCTGTAGACGTACAATTTGACCCACGACTGGTCATGTAAACGAACAGCTAACGACTAGCAGACAGAGGCATTCACCCGTATAGTACATTCACTCACGTTTTTTAAGGATAAGCAAGTCCAAACCACCGTTATATCTTGTTCTAACGGGTCCGTGCGGTTACTAATGAGACTGAGTAATGCACGCATCCTCTATTAGAATCATCACTGGGGGGAACAAGAAAGGGGAAAAACTGGAAAGGTTAAGTCAACACTCAATAGCTCCCAGCCTTCTTCTACTTAATACATTTCCTATGCTGACTTAATGAACCACACAAAGCCTTTCTGGTTTTTCATCAGATGGGGGTAGCAGTGGAGGTGGAGGGGGGGGTGTATGAAATGGTAATAAGGGCATGCAGACGGAGAGACGGAGGCAGAAGCCCGAGCCGAGGCTGGGGATGAAGCTGCACCTACCTGGAGGTGTGTGATCTCATTAAAGCCAAATTGGTATATGGCAATAAATCCAAGGCACTGGAATTATTACACACACACACACACACACACACACACACACATTGCATACAAACTTCCCCTCATGAAGAGCATTATTAGTACAATAAAATTATCCAAAATGGAAAAAAAAGTAATGAATATTGTAATGAGAAATAATAGAGCAATGTGGTCACAGTAGTGGCCGGTTAACACCAGAGCAAACATCCACAGGGCTGCTGAATAATTACAAATTAAATCTTCATCTAACAGAGAAATAAGAGATAGGGAGGGAATGACATCATGACTTGTCTTAATAAATCAATCTGATCTGGAGAAGAAAATTACAATAACTGATGGCAATACAAATGTGATTGCTGTTTAAGTACTTGATTGGTATCTCGCTTTTCTTTAAAACATTGTGTATCATGACCGATCATAATTACACTTACATTTGTGTGGTTCTGTCTTCCACAATTGAAACCAGGATCTGCACAGTAATGGACGTGCATCATTGGTGTTTCCTTTGCACCCTTTGATCGTCAGATGTTTAACTCAAACAAACCCTAGGCATTTTGTGTTGGGAGACGCGTATCCCAGAGGCCCCTGGGGCTCCTGGGAGAGGGAGAGAGAGAGAGAGAGACAGACAGAGAAATAGGCAAGTGTGTGTTGTTTGTGTGTGCTGGCTGGCAGAGTCCCCTTGAGGCTCTACTGTAAAGCTATCATCAGTGGGGGTGTCAGGGATTTGTAGCTTGTCACTGAGCGAGGGAGAGAGTGCTGGCAGTGACTCTGGGAAATAACTGCTTATGGAGCG